AGCAGAACATGTTTGACCATCAATTCCTTTTTTAAAAAAAATATTATTTGTTTATTTGACAGAGAGAGATCACAAGTAGGTAGAGAGAGAGAGGGAAGCAGGCTCCCCACTGAGCGGAGAGCCCGATGCGGGGCTCCATCCCAGGACCCTGAGATCATGACCTGAGCCGAAGGCAGAGGCTTTGACCCACTGAGCCACCCAGGTGCCCCTGACCATCACTTCCTGATGCCTAGTCCTAGTGGGACCCTGGGCAGGTGTCCCTGGAAGATGGCGGAGCTCTCGAGTCCCCTTCCTCACTCCTTCCTAACATCTCATTCACCAGCCCAGAGAAGGGTTTGGGTTCTGTGGCCTTGGCTAATCGCCCTTCTGTCTGGCTCTGCCAGTTTCCATTTTTGAGGACACATGGCATGAGGGGATGGGAGGGTCAGCCTTCGTAAAAAAACAACAACAAAAAAATGCTGTCACGAGGGTAGACAATAGTCATGCAAACACACAAGGGTAGACACGAGGGTAGACAATAGTCACGAGGGTAGACAATAGTCATGCAAACACACAAGACGTGATGAAATGGGACCTTTACAGATGTACAAGCAAAGCTGCAAGGCACTATGCAGAGTGTGCTTGATAGCCCCAAATACATCTAGATAGCAATGTAACTGGGCAGGGAGGCTTGAGATGGACTTTAAAGAAAGTAAAGGAGCATGAGGGCAGAAACACATTAGATATAATCAGCTGTAAGCTATGTCCTTTTAACTTTTTTTTTAAATTGTTTTCTTTTCTTTTCTTTTTTTTTTTTTTTTTAAGATTTCATTTATTTATTTGACAGACAGAGATCACAAGTAGGCAGAGAGGCAGGCGGGATGGGGGGGGGAGGCTCCCCGCCTAGCATAGAGCCTGACGAGGGGCTTGATCCCAGGACCCTGGGATCATGACCTGAGCTGAAGGCAGAGGCCTAACCCACTGAGCCACCCAGGCGCCCCTAACATTGTTTTCATGATTAGCTCCACATTTAAGAATATGTCCCATCCAATCATCCCAACAAATTACCTGCTGACAACTATGTGGAGTACGTAAAGAATAGGTAGAAATTTGGAAGAATCATGCATATTACCAGTTATCATTCTGAGTTTAAAAAGTGAAATTAAAATAACGTGCATTGAATATTATTGTCTTGTCCACGTGTCTGCATATTTTACTGTCTAATTTTCATTGGAACCATGTAACATGCATAATAAGCACATGGTAACTTCTCAAAAAATATCTGTGGCGTGAATGGATTTGGTACATATTTTTTCTCTAAACAACAATGTGCTTGGAATCATTAATGCACATGCCAATGTAAATGTTTACTATATTTAAATTTATTTCCCTTTATCTCATGCTGTACCCAGAGTTGATCGCTTTTCAGCTTATAAGTGAAAGGTCACCATGTATAAGTAGAGGAAAATGAAATTGGTGACTTATAAACACATTTATTTAAATGGAATCAGGGCAGCAAAATCTAATTCCATATATAGTATTGTGAATTATTCATGTTTTTCATAAAAGTGGGTCACAAGCATTTGATGACATTTTGTAAATTCTAACATTTTTATTATGCTGAGTCCTATTGTGCTGCAGATTTACAACCTTACAGGTGTCCTAAAAAATATACACTAATGACATTACCCCCTCAGTACACATTGTTTTAATTGCAATTGTATTTACAAATAGCCTAATGAATTGACACATCTTTGAATTACTCAGAAAACCAAATAGCTGGATTATTTTTGGTTTTTGGCTTAGTAGGAACAAATAGTGATTGTAAAGACTAAAATGCTAAGAGAAAATGGAACAGAGCTGAGTTACAATTGCTGGTTTATATTCAGACTGAGCCAGAACTGTTAGCATTACTAAAAAACAGTATCAAGGTTCTAAAATACTCAGAGGTTTTTAATTACATAATTGACCTTTTCCCTTAATATACAGAGGTGCTAGTTTCCACATATACCTATTAATTTTAAATGGAAAGCAGAATGTGACCAAAGAAAAACAGAGTCATTGTAACTTAACTATTCAAAAGAAAACCTCTGTTTGCCTTGGTCTAATTTAAAATATTCATCCCTATGATTCTGGAGCAATACCATTTTCTGGCGACCTTCACCTTCCTTTCTCCATTACTGGTAATACTTGGACAAAGGGAGATAGAAGAGTGGAGTGAGATGCTCCCTAAAGGTAAAAGAGAAGTATAGGACTTAAAATGTCCCTATGACAAAATATACATTCAACAATAATGACCAAAATATCATATATCAGTTATGTTAGTTTAAAAACTGGAGCAATTTAATGTTAGCTAAGAAACTTGAAATTCAAGGTCTTCTCATTCAGTAAGGCTTTTTCTGTGTGTATAGGTTGAACTAGTGATCAATAAGTATATTTTCTGTTTCCTAATGTTGATAACTGCACGTATTTATTCAATATGTAAGCCTTGTTTTGTTCTTTTGTGTATAAAAACAGAGGCATTTTTGTAAGAGTGTAGTTTAGAAAAAGAGCATGAAACTAGGGATTTTGATTCAATCAAGTTAGGTTTCTCTATCACAAACCTAACTTCTCTCAACTTCAGATTTTTAATCTGTAAAAAGAGAGCATAATTCCCATACTCACAGGGTGGCTGTGAATTAATAGATGTGAAACCACTTTTAAAAACATTTTTGTAAGATATGCAAATACAAGGTGTTAAGAGATTGTTGTATAAAAATGAAAGATTGGCTTACAATCCACAGAAATGATAAATTTTAATGTGAGTTTTATGTAAATGATCTTTAGATGCTTAGCAGGCAGAGGTATAATCTTTCTGACCCATTAATGCCTTGCTTCATGCCAGCCTAAAATAAATTTAATAAGGCTTATATAATTAAAAAATGTAACCTTGACCTTGTGTTACCTTTCTTTCTTGAACTTTAAGGTTATCATGCGACATGTCTTTATAGGATAGAGCCAACTGATGTTATTTTGGAATAACCAGGCTATCAGACACGTTTTCTAAGAAGTGGAAGTATTGGCAGCTCTCATTTCAATAGTTTAATCTACTTGTTAAAGAAGAAAATAGCCTTATGAATCTTGGGCTAATAGGAAAGGAAGCCATCTAAATTCATGCAGAAAGTCTAGTGAATAAAGCTTTATCTTATTAAAAAAAACAAAAGAAAAAGAATGAGGATTGACAACAGTCTTTGTTAAGAATTATTTAAAATAATTGTAGCTATAAAGAAAAGTAGTATTTTTATGGCATCATAATTTCTTTTTCAGTGAATACTCAAATACTGGTGAAGTGCTCCAAAAGCAATTGAATATGCTCACAGAATTCAAGTTGCTAATGAGTTTTCTTGCAGCTTTAGTTAATAATCCCAAAATGTCAATATTTACAAAATTTTACAAAAGTGTAAAATATCTTTATGAAGTCCAAATTCTATTGGTGTTTCAAATGGCATTCTAACTAGATGATTTTGTAACAGTTACTTTTATGGCACTAATCTAAAGAACTCTGAACCCTGGGTCAATTTGCAAACTAGTTGTCATTTTATGAACACATCAGCCTGTTCCTTCAAGTAAGTGAATCCTTTACTAAGGGTTCCCCCTCAAGGTTTACAGAAAGTTTATGTATTATTATCAGATCACATATATGTTGAAAAGTTGGGAAACGTTTTAGCCCCGCCCCACAATAAACACCCACAGGTACATCATTCTGTTTGTCATTTCAGTGATCACAATCCATAAATCAAGTTTATGGATGCTTTAAAGATGTGTTGGGCAAATCTTCCTGTAAAAGGCTAGATAATATTCTTGGCTTTGTGGGCCATATGGTATTAGCTGCTCTACTCAACTCTGCTGCTATAGCACAAAGGCAGCCATAGGCAATAAGCAAACACATGAGCGTGACTCTGTTTCAATAAAACTATATTTACAAAGGTAGGCCGTATACCATATTTGGCCACAGGTCATAATTTACTAACCCCTGTGTTGGGGAACCACTGGCACTAGGTGAACGACTCTTAGAATATGACAGAGTTGTAGCAGTTAGGACTTCAACCATCTGATATTTGGAAGGCAATTCTTCCAGACTTAGTATAACTCACTTTTCAGCTCCTTACCCTATAGGATGTCCCTCAATATTTCATTCTCTATTAAATTATTTTTACCTAGACCTGTGGTCATACAGATCAGGGACAACAATCCTGCCATGGCTGAATGTGTCCCCTGAAATTCATGTTGAAGCTCTAACCCCCCAGTGTGATGATATTTGGAGATGGGGCCTTTGGAAGGTAACTGGGTTTTGATGCGGTCAGGAGGGTGGGGTCCTTCAAGACGGGATTATGAGTCTGGGATCTCACAAACTTTTGTTTTTTATCTAGGAATGAGGGAGAAGGACCAGTTGAGTATTCTACTACTTGAAGTGCCTTCTCTACTTAAACCACTGCTTTTTTCTGTTTGCTGAGATCATTCCATGTCCCTTCCTGGTACCATGCCTGGCTTGCTAAAGCTGAAAAGCAAGAGCTCTGCTTGAGCCATTTTAGAGAAAAGATGACTTTCAACTTGAGAGGACTGTTGTCATTTCTCTTGGATCTACTAGTGGCTTAGATGGGCCAGAATGGCACAATTTCATGGAGTACTTGGTAGCAAAGATTGAAATAAAAACAAAACATAAAATTAAAAATATAGAAAACCTAGAATTAATGTCAGACTATCCAAAAAATTCTCATATCCATTCCTATATGTTAGTAGTTGTCATTAAATTCCAGTGAAATTAAGGTCCTCTTCCATTTTGGTTATTGTCGGTTGTTAACTGGGCTATTTTGGGTAAGAAAAATGTCCATGGGTTAAAGTTAAGAATATTTTCATAAACTTGCTCTTTTAAAATCCATCAATCTCTCGATTATTTCCTCTGCTTAAAGATAAAATAAGAGGTGAAATTCCAGTTACAAGAACACACTCTCAATATCAATGGTGGTGAAATGAGTTGTTTTAAAAATATGGAGCATTTTATCAATTTGCATGTCATCCTTGTGCAGAGGCCATGCTAATCTCTGTATCATTTCAATTTTAGTATATGTGCTGTTGAAGCAAGCATGAAATGGATTTCTTAATCAGCAGCAATAGGAGCAGGGATCCCAAATGCCAAGGATAGTTAATGAGTAACCCAGCAACTCACACATAAGGGATTCTTCATGACAACACACTACTTGTTTTTAGTCCTACTGAAATATCCAGGAATGGATACAAATTTATAATTTGCATATAAGATCATCTTTCAGAGGCTCTTGTTCTTATTTGGCTAGACTACTTGTGTCTTATACATCCTCCATCCTCCTAGAATTTACTTCAATATAATCTACACTTCCTTACAATCAGTACAATTGCAGGTACAGTCTAAGCAAGGATGGGAGAGACCTAAGAGAATTATCCTGAATAAAGAATCCTCTTTTAACTAAATATCTTTAACATCAAACATGAACCCTTAAAAGATCATTTCTCATTTATCATGGTGGGTTTATGGAAGCAGTCAAACCTTTGGATAGTAGGAAGCCATGAGCCAAAATCCTAAACCACAGTTCAAACTTCCACTGTAATTTCCTAAAAATGTACAGGCCATCAGATACCAAGAATTCTTACAGGCAATTTCAGGTTTCATTCTTAACCATTGTCTCCACTCACTCTCATATTAAATCACATCAGCATGACAAACCCTTAGGAGTATGCCAAATCAGGTAGGTGAGGCTTAGAGGGTTGATTTGGGCTTAGGACTAACAAGGAATCATTGGATCCAACTGACTTCCACTTAGTTTTAATACTCAACAAGGAAATAAGCAACATAATACACACTTGGTCAAGGCAATGCCTCCCTATACTTTTCAGGTTCCTCCTCACAGCACACCTCAGGTTTGGAGGTCTTGGTACTGTCAGTGGAGAGTGGGAAGTCACCCTGATGAATAAAGCCCAGAGACTTGGACTTGTCAGGTCCCCCCAACCCAAAGGCCCAACTCTACTCTATGGACCATCGTTTTATAACAGTAACCATTTCTTGCTATGGTACATGTATATACATGTTTCATTTCTTCTCCATCAGAAGACACAAGATAGTTTGGGAAGTCTGGCCATGGCCTATTTTAGAGACTGCATGAAATTATATATAAAATTATGGGTATATCATTACATCTTTATTTTTCAGAAGGGAAATGCTGTTCCTTTCAGCTAAGTGGTCTGTGACCCAAAATTTAAGAAAACAAAATAGGGGGGCACCTGGGTGGCTCAGTGGGTTAAAGCCTCTGCCTTCAGCTCAGGTCATGATCCCAGGGTCCTGGGATCGAGACCTGCATTGGGCTTTCTGCTCAATGGGGAGCCTGCTTCCCCGCCCCCTTCTGCCTACCTCTCTGTCTGCTTGTGATCTCTGTCAAATAAATAAATAAAATCTTTAATTTTTTAAAAAAAGGAAAGAAAACAAAACAGGGACACCTGGGTGGCTCAATCATTTGAGCATCTGACTTCAGCTCAGGTTATGATCTCAGGGTCTGCACTCAGCAGGGGGTCTGCTTATCCCTTTTCCCCACCCCCTTGCTTGTGCTCTCTCTCTCTCAAATAAAATCTTTAAAAACAACAACAACAAAAAATCTCACTGTTACAGAAGATGCCATTCAGACAAGGGAACAAGTGATATTGTAACACAAGACAGAAAAAATACCAAGTGTTTTATCTTGGGAAAATATTCTAACATAATTCTAATTTATGAAGATATAAATCACCCATGTTAGTGAATTTCTTTTTTTTTTTAGATTTTATTTATTTATTTGACAGACAGAGATCACAAGTAGGCAGAGGCAGGCAGAGAGAGAGAGAGAGGAGGAAGCAGGCTCCCTGCTGACCAGAGGCCCGATGTGGGGCTTGATTCCAGGACTCTGGGACCATGACCCGAGCCGAAGGCAGAGGCTTTAACCTGCTGAACCACCCAGGTGCCCCACGTTAGTGAATTTCTAATCAGAAAATTATATTTTAGCTACTTAACTAAGTCAAATTCCAGCAAGTATTTCTGAGAAACATCCTATCTGCTGGACACTAAAATCAGGTGTGAGATGCGAAAAGTGCATCAGGGGCTGTTTTTTTCCCCTCATAAATGTGATTTTTATTGTACCTATCATACCACATGCTGTAGTTTTAGAAGCATCATTATTTCCACAAAATTAGTTCCCAAATTTACTGAAGACATAGTAGTTATTCATTAAGCAAGCATTTATTGAGTATTTACTGAAAGTTAGATATACTTCCCTGTCTACCCCCCACCCCTACCCCAGGAAATTCAGTGCTAAGCAAGGTAAGTCTCTGTTTTTATGAAAGGCAGACTCTTAAGGTAAATTATTTATTTGGGAGAAAGAGAGAGAAAGAGTGAGAACATGAGCATGAGGAGGGCCAGAGGGAAAAACAGACTCCCTGATGAGCAGGGAGCCTGATGTGGGGCTTGATCTCCTGAACCTGGGACCATGGCCTGAGCTGAGGGAGCCATTCAGGTGAACCGGGAGGCAGACTCTTAAGGTAAAAGATTAGAGACATAAAATGTTCAAAGATAAACAAATAAATGACAGAAGTTATTTTGGGCTATTAAGAAAATACAGCACAAGAAGGTATATTGGAGAGAATTATTGGAGAGAATTTCCCCAATATGGCAAAGGGAACAAGCATCAAAATCCAGGAGGTTCAGAGAACCCCCCTCAAAATCAATAAGAATAGGTCCACACCCCATCACCTAATAGTAAAAGTTACAAGTCTTAGTGACAAAGAGAAAATCCTGAAAGCAGCCCGGGAAAAGAAGTCTGTAACATACAATGGTAAAAATATTAGATTGGTAGCAGACTTATCCACAGAGACCTGGCAAGCCAGAAAGAGCTGGCATGATATATTCAGAGCACTAAATGAGAAAAACATGCAGCCAAGAATACTATATCCAACTAGGCTATCATTGAAAATAGAAGGAGAGATTAAAAGCTTCCAGGACAAACAAAAACTGAAAGAATTTGCAAACACCAAACCAGCTCTACAGGAAATATTGAAATGGGTCCTCTAAGCAAAGAGAAACCCTAAAAGTAGTAGATCAGAAAGGAACAGAAACAATATACAATAACAGTCACCTTACAGGCAATACAATGGCACTAAATTCATATCTCTCAATAGTTACCCTGAATGTTAATGGGCTGAATGCCCCAATCAAAAGACACAGGGTATCAGAATGGATAAAAAAACAAAACCCATCTATATGTTGCCTACAAGAAATTCATTTTAAACCCGAAGACACCTTCAGATTTAAAGTGAGGGGGTGGAAAGAATTTACCATGCTAATGGACATCAGAAGAAAGAAGGAGTGGCAATCCTTATATCGGATCAATTAGATTTTAAGCCAAAGACTATAATAAGAGATGAGGAAGGACACCATATCATACTCAAAGGATCTGTCCAACAAGAAGATCTAACAATTTTAAATATCTATGCCCCTAACGTGGGAGCAGCCAACTATATAAACCAATTAATAACAAAATCAAAGAAACACATCAACAATTATACAATAATAGTAGGGGACTTTAACACTCCCCTCACTGAAATGGACAGATCATCCAAGCAAAAGATCAACAAGGAAATAAAGGCCTTGAATGACACAGTGGACCAGATGGATATCACAGATATATTCAGAACATTTCATCCCAAAGCAACAGAATACACATTCTTCTCTAGTGCCCATGGAACATTCTCCAGAATAGATCACATCCTCGGTCCTAAATCAGGTCTCAACCGGTATCAAAAGATTGGGATCATTCCCTGCATATTTTCAGAACACAACGCTCTGAAGCTAGAACTCAATCACAAGAGGAAATTTGGAAAGAACCCAAATACATGAAGACTAAACAGCATCCTTCTAAAGAATGAATGGGTCAACCAGGAAATTAAAGAAGAATTGAAAAAATTCATGGAAACAAATGATAATGAAAATACAACGGTTCAAAATCTGTGGGACACAGCAAAGGCAGTCCTGAGAGGAAAATACATAGCAGTACAAGCCTTTCTCAAGAAACAAGAAAGGTCTCAGGTACACAAGCTAACCCTACACCTAAAGGAGCTGGAGAAAGAACAAGAAAGAAACCCTAAACCCAGCAGGAGAAGAGAAATCATAAAGATCAGAGCAGAAATCAATGAAATAGAAACCAAAAAAACAATAGAACAAATCAACGAAACTAGGAGCTGGTTCTTTGAAAGAATTAATAAGATTGATAAACCTCTGGCCAGACTTATCAAAAAGAAAAGAGAAAGGACCCAAATCAATAAAATCATGAATGAAAGAGGAGAGATCACAACTAACACCAAAGAAATACAGACAATCATAAGAACATATTATGAGCAACTCTATGCCAACAAATTTGACAATCTGGAAGAGATGGATGCATTCCTAGAGACATATAAACTACCACAACTCAACCAGGAAGAAATAGAAAGCCTGAACAGACCCATAACCAGTAAGGAGATTGAAACAGTCATCAAAAATCTCCAAACAAACAAAAGCCCAGGGCCAGATGGCTTCCCGGGGGAATTCTACCAAACATTTAAAGAAGAACTAATTCCTATTCTCCTGAAACTGTTCCAAAAAATAGAAATGGAAGGAAAACTTCCAAACTCATTTTATGAGGCCAGCATCACCTTGATCCCAAAACCAGACAAGGATCCCATCAAAAAAGAGAACTACAGACCAATATCCTTGATGAACACAGATGCAAAAATTCTCACCAAAATACTAGCCAATAGGATTATAGGTACATTAAAAGGATTATTCACCACGACCAAGTGGGATTTATTCCAGGGCTGCAAGGTTCGTTCAACATCCGCAAATCAATCAATGTGATAAAACACATTAATAAAAGAAAGATCAGGAACCATATGATAATCTCCATAGATGCTGAAAGAGCATTTGACAAAGTACAGCATCCCTTCCTGATCAAAACTCTTCAAAGTGTAGGGATAGAGGGCACATACCTCAATATTATCAAAAGCCATCTATGAAAAACCCATCGCAAATATCATTCTCAATGGAGAAAAACT